GTTCCCGAAGGCGGCGGGCGGCCGCCGGGGCCCGCGAGGGGGAGCAGGAGCCAGGACGGCGAGTACCTCAGAGCCGCCGAGTCGCCCAGGCCCGCAAGTCCCGCGGCTGCCAGCAGCACCCGTCAGAAACCGAGTTCCCACGGCAGTGCCGCGTCCCGAAGGGAGAAAGCGCCAGAGTCGAGCGGCCAGCGCCATGACCTAATCGCGGGCCCGACCCTTCACCTCCTGGCCGCAGAAGAGCAAGAGGGGCGGGGCGAAAGACGCCCCTGTCCAATCCAAGGAAAGCGCGTCCGCCCGCTTTCTGCCTGCGCCTCTTCCTGCTTCCGGCCCCGGGGTTCCGGTGGGCGGGGCATACGCCGAGTGGGTGGGGCATGGTGCCGCGCCGCGCCTGCGCCTGGGGAACGGGCCGTGAGGATTCGCTTCTGGCCTAGGGCGCGGTTCTGTTCTGAGTCTGTGCGCATCCGTTGTGAGTTTGCACGGAGCTAGGTCACCGAGCAAAACTGAAAGCTCGGAAACAGATCCGAGAATTTACTTGCGCCACAGAAAAAAATGACTTGTTATTTACACTTCTCTGCTCCAAAGGGAGGGGAAATCTGGTACCAGGGATCCTTTGGGGAAATCAGTGCTTGGAGTTGAACTGCTCCACGTGAAGAAGGTGGAGGACGAGACTACAGGGGAGAAGCCAGAGGGAACGAACGATGCCAGTGAAGCCCGAGCTGGTCTCCGCAAGGAACCAGAGAGCAGGCCCCGCTCAGCTGTGGGATGGGATGTTGGACGTCGACCCCGGCTTCCCTCTAAGCATTGCAAGGTTCTACTTCTCGCCGGAGTGGCATTCCTTTCGAGGGAATGAAGTGGTCTTGAGTCCTGCTCCAGAACTGAAGTGGGTGAACACACAAGCAGCACATGGAGTACCTATTGTATGGATGACATGAAAACTTTATGGGCGATGAGGAAAGAGTCCTATGTTTTTAAAACTTAGATTGCGTTTATATAGTACTTTTAATACTATACTTACACGTAGAGAAATAACAAATACTTTTATTTCATTTAGTCTTCCCAACTATCTTGCGAAGTACAAGGACAAATAGCCAGTAGATGTTAGAAGACGCATCCATGAGTCGAATGCTTCTATGTGATTGCTGCCTTCACCACGGCCCATTAAATCATTTCTTTAGGATCACATCAGTGCTATTACTATTTTCTTTGTTTTAAAAGTATGTTTTAAAAATACACAGAGATCCTCTTCCCAACTTTTGCTGACTCCTAGTCTTTTTTTCTTGGAACCATTTTTACATATTTCTGCTGGTAGCTACCTCAATATTGCTAAATACGTTTATACTACTGGATGCCATGATAATCCTGAAATCGAGTTTTCGATATTTCAGCCAGAGTGAAATTTTAATGACATTTTTCACTTAGAAAAAAATTTATATTCTTAGAAAAGTTGCAAGAACTCTAATATTCTTTACCTAGATTCGGCCATTGTTAACATTTTGTCACATTTGTTTTATCTTTCTTTACATATATTACATATAATATTGATGTTATAGTACTATTATTATTTTCTCTTGAACCTTTTGACAGATTACAGATATCATGACTTTATGCCTAGAAACAGACGTTCTCTTGTTTAGTTCTAATACAATTATCAAATTCAGGAAATTGACAGAATACTATTAATATTAGAAGTTTTGCTTATTGTTCCAATGCTGTCGTTTATAACAACTATTTTTCCTCCAATTCAGGATAGAATCCTGATTATGTACTGCCTTTAACTCACGTTCCTTTAGTCTCTTTAAGTCTGCACTATTTTTCTCTCGGCTCCGTGCACACTATCTTTTCTTTCCTCCAAAGGGCCTCAGACCTAGGATTCCTTCTCGTTCCTCCCACCTCACTCCATGATCCCTTACCTAACTATTCTATTCATCTTTCGGCTCTCAGCCCAAATGTCACTTCCTCAGAGAAACTGTTCTTGATTCCCTCAATATACTTTCATATCCTTTGTGGCTTTGAGCATGTTTTATAATTCCATTTTTCTATTTGTGATTATTTGTTAATCTGGAGCATATTTTGGAGCTCCAGTTGCTATGATTTGGTAATGTGTGTCTTTGCTATACCGTAAACGCAATGACATATCTGATTTTTGTCTATTGCAAGTCCTAGCACTGTTTCTTCATTCAACAAATATTTATTGCATATCTATAATATGCCTGGTATTTTAGATGGTATTTTAGAATGAACAGTTCCTAATGGAATATATATTTTAGTTGGGGAAAAATAGTAAGCAAGATAAGCAAAAGGTATAATAGATGATAGTAAGTTCTACAGTGGAAGGTGAAGCAGGAAGCGAGCAGTATGGAGTGTATTTCTGTATAGGCTGCAGTGGGAAACAGGGTGGTGGCCACAGAAGACCCTCACTGAGGAATAAAGACCCACAGAAGAGGGAGTGAGCTGTGGCGGCATCTGAGGGCAGAGCATGTCATGTAGAGGGACAGGAAGGTACAAAGGCCCGACTTGGGAAGGCAAGTGGCATTTTCCACGGATGGCAAGTCCACTCTAGAGTGAGAGCCGCGGGCAAGGAGGAGGGTGGTAAGAGGCCAGGGAGGAGTGCAGACCAGGAAGGGCAAGACCTTGTAGGCAACTGCAAGAACTTCGCCTTTTTTCTTTGTTTGACTGTGTGCGGCATAATCTAAAGGAGATATCCTTCTGATCTAATTTGAAAATAGACGGAAGGGGAGCAAGAAGGGAATGAGTTAGGAGGGTATTAGAATAATCTAGAAAGAAGTAATGCTGGCTTGCAGTAGGCTGGAAGATATGAGTGATCAGAATCTGGATATATTTGAAGGTGGAGTTGACAAGATTAGCTGACAGACCAGACCAGATGGCAACGGGGTATGAGAGGAGAGAGTCCAAGATGATTCCAGAAGTTTGGGCCCAGACAAGTGGAAGAATGCTTCTCCATTGCTTGAGACAGAGAAGACCATTGGAGGAAGAGCTTTGGGGAGGAATCAGGAAGTTCTGTTTGCACATTTGGATTTGAAATGCTTTTTGGCCAGCCGTGGTGGCCAGCCTCCCAGATAGCCAGCTTTGGTCCTCACCTCTTGGATTTACTCTTTTGTGGAAACCCCTCTCACGTTAAATCAAGGCTGGTCTGTTTGACCGATAGAATACTGCAAAGTTGTTGGTGTGTGACTTCTTGGGCTAAGTCATAAGGCTTCTGCCTTGACCTCTTGGATTGTTTATCCTGGAGGAAGCCAGCACCAACACCATTAGGACACTCAAGCAGCCCTATTGAGAGGCTCGTATAGAGAGGAAGTTAGGCTCCCACCAACAAACAGCACCACTGTTCCTTGCGAGTAGGCCACCTGGAAGTGGCTCCTCCACTCTGTGAGATGACTGCCACCTGCTCAATAGCTGACTGCAGTGTCCTGAGAGAGGATGAGCCAGAACCACCTAGCTAAGCCACTCATAAATCCCCGAACCACAGAAACAATGAGAGAGAATAAATTACTGTTAGTTTTAAGCCATGGAACTTGGTGTAATCTGTTGACTGTGAACATCTCATTCATTGTAACATCCATGTAAATTTGCACCAAGTGCCAAGTCCCATACATGTTTGTTCTTTGTTTCCGGAATCTTGTTATGCCTGATATATACTACATGTCGAGTGAATGGGTGAATGAGCAACACATGTTGAGTAAATGGGTGAATGAATAAGAACACAGAAAAGAATTTAGACTATAGTTTGAGGAGAATGAATAAGTAAGTACACTGAGTAGCTATGGCAGTAGGCATTGAAATGAGATTGCTTACTGGGTACTAAACACAAAACCATTTCCTTGTCTCTACTTCCTTCTATTTTAATAGAGACAAAGGTCATGAAGTTTAGATATGGTAACTAAGTAGTCTAGAAATTTTGAAACTTACAATTAAATTACTGGTGCCTGAAGACTTTCACTTAAATGTAAAAACATAAGAATGAAACAAAAAAGTTGTTTTTACCAACTTTTAGTAAAAACAAAACAAAACACTTCTTCTTTTCCACTATGCTCCAAACACAAAAGCCTTGTTTTTGACCTTGCCACTTGCTGGGTCTATTTCTGCACTGGCCCCTGCTTTCACTCTACTGCCCTTGATCACAGCATGATTGGCTCTTTCTTATTTTTCAGGTCTCAGATCAAATATCACCATCTTAGAGAGACCTTCCCTGATCCCCAGTCAAAATAAACTGCTGTTACTCGCAAATCACCCTTACTACTTTCCTCATGGTAGTTATGGCTACCTGGAATCCTCTCATTCGTTTTCGATAACTTTTTTCTTCTCTCTCTAGGATAGAAGCTTCTGTCACTAGTATATCTCAGGATTAGACCAATACGTGGCACATAGTAGGCATTCAGGACATGCTCAATCCTCACTTGCACTGATTTATTTAAAAAGTATTTAGTTTTCATTTTTGGATTAAAAGTAAAGTTTTACTTAGGAAAGCTTGTATTTCTTCAATTGTTTCCTTTTTCATTCTGTAAGTAAAAAAATTATCCTTTGCCTATTTTTCTATTTTTTAAAAATCAATTTATGCTTAAGATACTGACCCTTTCTTTGCATGAAATTAAAGATGTGAAATGACTCCGGTAGGGAGCACACGGACGTTCTCTAAGTAAGAATGGTCAGAGCTAAGCATGTCACTACTCTCATTCTTCCCGGGTTCAGCCGCTGGTATAATTTTCTCAAATAATTTAATTCTTTTATCCTTCAGGAATTAATTTCGGTGCACGGAACAACTTATTTTAATGCCCAAAGTCAACTTGGGGTTTTCGGTCAGCTAAGTAACCCAGAAGCATCACATCAGCCCAGCGGCGAAGGGCAGATCTGTGTGGGCCAGT